AAGTGGTTTGCCAGCAGACAGGATCAGCAGCACCCAGAGACCTGGCTCTCCAGCCAAGTGCCTTGTCCGACTTGCCGAGCCAAATTTTGCATTCTAGATGTTTGCCTAATACGATGAGTAGTACTTGGGTATGTTTTAACTTTTTTAGTTTGACTGTGTTTTGTAGTGGGTTTCGTCAAAGGCCTGCTAGATCTGTTTCTGAGACTTCATGTTCTACCAGGGTACAAACTCTARAAGTTTCTTTTACAGTGTTGAAAACAGATGTAAATCTTTTCAGTTCCTTTCCACTTTTACCTGTATCTGYGGATTTTACTCACCTGATGTCAACTTCTGGATTTTAATTTTTTTAAACCCATATTTTCCTTTCTTACATTTTGGATGGAATAAGGTTATCCTTCTACRTTTGCGGTATTATTGTCTTTTCAGGTTTTAACGTAGGTTAAATTCTTTACATTTTTWAATTTTACTTGGGTTTTGATTCTTTAATAAAGGGCTAACTGACAAAATTGCTTTGGTTAGACTTCATTGATACTTTCATTATTCTTTAATCCAGTTTTAAAGTGATAACTAATCTTTGCAGTTGTTCTCCAAACCAGTGTACCAGTTGTGTTCCTTCAGCTGGTCCACTCCACTCACAAAGGGTTGTGAGAAGGCTAAGGAATGTAATCCCTGAAGATTTACAAGTCCTATAYGGACTTTTTATTCCATTAATTTGCCTCTTGCATAGGTTGTGATGGATATCTTTATTTCAAACAACAGAGGGTTTTGGCAGCATAACCCATTTACCTATACTGCTAAATCTGTTGGTTTCCAGGAGCTCCATTGCCTAGGGTTTCAGTGCTCTTTAGGTGATGGGACTTTTTTTACATAAGTTTGAAAGGAGTGCTGCAAATATCTGAGCTTTAATTTGTATATTAAAATCACAGATGGGTCAAATAGAAAAAGGAATACTTAAATGTTTTGGGCTAGGAGAATAAAAGCTCTTAATACCTTCCACCTGAATAATCAGAAGGATTTTACCAGTAAATCATGAGCAGAGGTGACATGTAAACCTGTTGATTACCATGACAGATAACTGCTTTGAACAGGAACAGGTGGCAGGATGTGAAAATGGTACAAGTATTGCATGCATGGGCATGAAACATTTCATGAGTCTCAGCTGAACTACCGGTGGTGAATGCACCCAACCCGCACTTGGAGCCAGCCAGGAAATGGTTACAAATGTGGCTGCAAACAGTAACTTAGAGAGGGGTAAGGAATTAAAAACAGATCTGACAGCATTGTTTGAAAACTAACGTTTATGTTATATTGTTGGTGTTGGATTTAACATTTGGATTTTTAAAATAATTTGCATTTGTAAAAATCCAAACTGCTTGAGTTTAAGACACTCATTGCTTCAGCATATCTCAGTTGCTTTATATACAACATTGATTATGCAATTATCTAAACTACCTATTAATAACAGTGACTTCTCTGTTTTTCATTACCTGTTGGGTTGGATTGTACAGAGTGAAAATTTCATACTGAGACAGGTAGTATGGATTTGTCTCTCTCAAAGAGATCTTAAGTGGCATGTTATTGTTCATCTGAATAAAATTAAACTGAGTCCTGGAGTTTCAGCCAGATTGGTTAGCAAGTCTGAGAACTAATAAAAAAATCTAGGTGCTGATCAGAAATTTTMGGTTGAATTTAAAATATTTTCCAATACTTCTGTGGGAAAGTTATTTCCAGGTTTAAAATGATCACTGCAGGATTTTTTAACCTTTGGAAAATTCTTTCAGAGCTGGGTTGTGTTGTCTGACATGCACCTATAACAGCACAGCAGCCTTTACAAATAAGCATTTTGTAACATCTGCTTCTGAAAAGTTCATATAATATGGTACAGATACAAGGAATGTGGCCCTTGAAAAGAAGAAATGGTAGGATTTTGGAGCTGTGGTTTTGCCACTGACAGTCATTCAGTTCCTACAGCACTTTGCCTGTTTGGAGTAAAAATATTTAYTGTAAAGAGTAAGAAGCTAAAATCATGAAGGCCTTGAGAAACGTAGATAATAGATACATGTAGTTGCAAATAGTTTTATAGACTAAAACCAGGTCAGTGGCCAATCATATCTCATGTAATAAAAGCTTTAAACTCCTAATTGCTTTTGCAGTAGAATCTACTCTGAATTGACTGGAAGTTTTCACTTTAGTGGAACTTTGCTTTTGTTCATGTTACCTCTTTTGTCAATTTAAAAGTATGACAGAGAAACAGTCGTAAATGTTTTATATGYTTTCATCTTTTAATGCTCTATCCACAGAAGTGCCTCTTAGAAAACTTAGTAATGATTACAAAAACCAAATTATTATTTTTGTTAATGATAGTACCTGACTTAAATTCCTTAAAACAAGTAGTGTTCCCCAAGTTTAAATTTTCACAATAATCTGACATGGCTCCAAAGTTTGTAAACTTCTTAAAGGCTGTGTTAGAGAAACAACTCGTTAAAAATCCATATGAACAGGAAAAATAGAGTACAAAAACAGGCATTTGTCTTCATGATAGCTTCAGGTTATCATCCAAAGAGCCACATGCACATATAGGGCCATTTCTAGAGAAGATCTTCTCTGCTTGCAGTAAAAATCACACCACTGCCTCCCACACAATCTTGATACATTTCTTAAATATGAGATAGGGTTTAGAATGAATTTTCTTACAGCATTTTGTAAAAAAAAAAAAAAAAAACTTAAGTAATGAAAGTGACTAAAGTATTTACTGAAATAGTTTTCTTTTTTATTACTGTGTGTAAATCACTAATARTGATTTAGTGTTGCATTTCCAGCTCTGTGTGTGCTTTTCCACATCACATACTTGTGGGTGGGCAATGTTGGTAATCTGAAGTACATTACATAAATGTGATGTCATTAAACTAAAGACAATTTGTGGGTGGACTGTGTTGGTATAAATACTCCATATGAGTGTATCGTATATAGCCCAAATTTCGTGGTATGCTGCAGCTCAACGGGTCTTTCTTAAAACATGGGTCATGGCTACATTATTAATTTCCACAATTGTGTTACTTCTGTAATTGTAGCATTCCAGAAGATGTTGGCAAAATGTTATCTGTGGGKTTTTTTTGATTAACATAATTTGTCAAACCAAAAAAAGACATTTTTTTCCAAGTAGRTMTTTTTAATCCATTATATGAATACAGTTTTTCTACCATCAGGTTTGGCATAGCTTGAAACCAAAATACCAGGTTATCATGTGATCTCTTCAGTATCYTTATTGTGTTGAAACYGGACSARGTTGTCCAGAGAAGTTGTGGMCCCATCGTTGGAAGTGCCAAAGGGATTGAACAGGACTTTGAGCACCCTGGCYTTGTGGAAGATGGAACTGARTGATCTTTAAGGTCCYTTCCAACACAAACCTTTCTATGATTTTGTAAAACTTGCTAAGACTGCAGCTGAACACCATTCCAGTGAGGACMAACCTCAGTAAGACTGAAGTTCTCAGTGCCATTTCTTAACAAATGTTCGTTGACTTTGAGCTGTTTAAGGAGTTGAGATATAAATACTTAAGCTCTTCTGTGGATTRAAGAAGTTTTCCTCCAAAGACATACTGCAGGATTCCTTATTTGTGGTTTTTGGTGGCTCTTTTTGCTAGATAGCTTCTGTTTAAAATGAACAGTATTATCTGGATAGCCCTTAGGAAAAGGCTTAATGAATACATGCATTAATCTTAAAACCCTCTCAAGAGCTGAATAAAAATAYAATTGATTCTTTGTAAGACTTCTGTTTTTTTTAATTTTTAAGTTATGTTTACCAGGTAAAACTTTTTATGGGTGGAAATCAGTCTGACTTATCTGTATGCAATGTCTTATCCGAGAACATGGGCATAAATACAAATAGGGCTTAAATTCTACTGAAGGTGTACATGGTAAGTCCTCCATGGATGGATTTTCCTACTACAGCCTGAATGGAGAGGGCTGCATAAAGACAGTGTGTATGAAATCTGTGTAAGAACCTCAGGAAAAAACACTCCAAACACTTTTCACAACTTCCAGATGGGAAGGAGCAACACGGGATGTCATGAACTCAGTAGGGGCAGTGACTAAAAATTTGTCTTTCCAGGGGAGCCCTGGCAYTCAGCAATGGTGTGTCCTATATAAAACATTTTATTGTGACCTTGCTCAGATTTATTACCAAGCTCCAGCAATGAAAAATCTATCACATTCCTGTAGTAATGGACATATTGGAGTGAGTCCAGAGGAGAACCATGAAGATGCTCAGAGGGCTGGAGCACCACTGTGGAGACAGGCTGAGAGAGCAGGGGATGTTCAGCCTGGTGCAGAGAAGGCTCCAGGGAGATCTTGAAACAAATTCCAGTTCCTAAAAGGGCTCCACGAGAGCTGGAGAGGGACTTCAGACAAGGCCATGGCATGACAGGACAAGAGGGAATGGCTTTAAATTGAGAGTAGGTTCACTTTAGATACTGGGAAGAAATTCTTTATTGTGAGGATCGTGAGGCACTGAAAAAGGGTGCCCAGAGAGGCTGTGGATGTCACATCACTGAAAGGGATCCTGTTCAAGGTCAGGCTGGATGGTGCTCTGAGCATCCTGCTCTAGGGGAAGGTGTCCCTGCCCATGGTGAGGCATTGGAAGTAAATGCTCTTTAGGGTCCCTTCCAACCCAGACCATTCCATGATTTTATGTAACTGGTTAGCCTGCAGCTAAGTACCCTTCCAGTCAGGACAACCTCAGTAAGACTGAAGTTATGAATACCATTTTCTTAAGAAATATTTGTTGATTTTGAGCTATTTAAAGAGTTGAGATATAAATACTGAAGCAASTTATCTTCAAGGCTCTTTCCAACCCAAACTGTTCTGATTCCATTAATGGTATGAAATGTGGGACGCATTCCTGTCGAGTGTACGTTGTGGCCACCAACCACTCACGACATCTACCAGAAAACTAACCTGTCCCAAAACGAATCCTTGGCTATTGCGTGAGGTAAAACCCTGATGTGGGAGCTGGATTTTCCCTGGATTTGTGAGCGGAGCGGGCCGGTTAGCGTAGGTGGAGGGAGATGCTGTGAGGGCAGCGGTGCCCTCAGCGTGAGGGAAGCTGCGCCCAGGCCCTCACAGGAGCGCAGGACGCTTCTGTCTCCTCCTGCGGCACCGACGGACGCTCCCGTACGAACAGCACCGTCCNCGCTCCCGTACGAACAGCACCGTCCCGGCTGTAGCACCGACGGGCGCTCCCGTACGAACAGCACCATCCCGGCTGCGGCACCGACGGGCGCTCCCGTACGAACAGCACCGTCCCGGGCTCTCCCGGCTGTAGCACCGACGGACGCTCCCGTACGAACAGAACCGTCCCGGGCTCTCCCGGCTGCGGCACTGACGGACGCTCCCGCACGAACAGCACCGTCCCGGCTGCAGCACCGACGGGCGCTCCCGCACGAACAGCACCGTCCCGGGCTCTCCCGGCTGCAGCACCGACGGACGCTCCCGTACGAACAGCACCGTCCCGGACTCTCCCGGCTGCGGCAGCGCCCTGAGCGCGCCTGCGCTCCCCGCGGGAGGACGGGCTGCGCCTGCGCTGGGGCCGCGGCCGGGCCGGCACCGGGGCCATGTTCGGCGCTGCCGCCGCCCGCCTCAGCCATGTCCGGCGGGCCGCGCCGTGCGGGCTCAGCCGAGCCGGGCTGGGAGCGGCCGCGGGCCGATGGCGGTGCGGCTCTGCCTGCCCCGGGGCGGCTGCTGTGGGGCGGCTCCGGAGACAGCTGCTGGCAGCCCGTGGCAGCCCGTGCTCCCCCGCCGACCCGCCCCTTCTGCGCCCTCGACCTCCCGTGTCGGTGGCGAGTGAGGGACCAGCAGCCCGGGCAGGACGTGTGGGCTCGGAGAGACGCTCCAGCGCGGCTGGGAACRCCGGAGCTTGGCTGCAGTGGGCGGGCAGTGCAAAGCAAATGCCGGAATGGTTCTAAAAGGTATGATTTGMGGTTATCATTTCCMYTTACGTTTTCAGTGTTGTGCKTACGGCRTGTGTTSTAGTGCAACACTTAAGCTGGTGTGYTTTGTTAWTTTTTTTTTAAGTCGTTAARTGGAATARTTGTTGAAGGTGGTTAGAGAAGGGTTTTATCCATTGCCTTGGCGAAAACCGAGTGGGTTTGGAAATGTCRTTTTGCCTGGTCTGTGATTCCGGAGGGACCTGTTTGTGCTGTGTGTTGGTAACTTGGAGCTCTCTGGGACCAGGAAACTCCCAAAGCCGGTCAGGGCGGAGGAGGAAGCGAAAGAAAACAKGGGTGGTTAACTCAGAAATAAAATAGCAAAAATCCTTTCTTCWTTCTTCCTTGYTGGGYTAAGCKCAGAGACCTGRCACAAACAGAGARCAGTGTGTTTGCTGTTACACATACMGATATATGTGTATTTACAGTGCAGAGTCTGCAATACTCGGTCTCTCGGTCGCGGTGGATTACCAGGTGTGGTCCTTAGCCCAAGAAGCCAGATCTGGTGTTAGTAAATGCTGTGATTATGTTTTGTTTAGTAACCTGTCATTTAAGATGTCAAAGCTGCCAGAAGCCAGGAGAAAAATGTAGAGAACTCAACCCTTAAGCAATCCCTGGCTGACCCGCCAGGATGTCGCAAGCACTACAGTCAGCTCCTTGTCCCAGGCTTCCTTGTGAGGGCTCCACAGCCGTGTCTGGTCACGAATTTCCTTTGTAAATATGTTTCTGCATAAACATTAGAACTACTTCTTCTTAGCCATGGTTGTTTGTTTGGTTTTTTTGGGGTTTTTTTGTTTTGTTTTTTTTTTTGCGTTGAAGTGATGTTTCTGCATTTGCCTTTTCCACGAATTTACTGCTGGATGGGGCAGTAAATAAATGTCAGATAATGCACTTCTGACAGAGGACAGTCTGTGTATGTTGCCACATGTCCATAGGTCCATAATCACTGGTGATTGTCCTCAATTAAGTTTTTTTTTTCCCCACCATTTTGTTTGCAAATAGAGTMTATTTTTGGTTATSTAAATATTAATGGTTTATTTGAAARTGTTGATGTCTTAATTACATTAGTTAATTGCATTAGTCAAAGACATTTTCTCAGCAAYTGCACTAACATCTTTTTTAATTAAGTGTTGCCTGAATAAGTTGATATAATTCACATWTCTGTATGCTAAATCAGATTGTCCATATTTGTTTTATATAGGCAATGTTCAGTAACTACCAGTGACTTGATTTCACRTGAAAATTCTTCTTTTCTAGTTCTGTGCAACATCCACACTGCTGGCCTCAGGAACAGGAATCTAGAAGCTGGAATGATTCAGATTCTTTGGTGTTGGAYGAATATCAATGTGGCCATTTACACCACTGGCTGGAGAGGTAAGCAATAAATGTGAATTTTCTTTAAATCTCCACTTTGCTGCACTCTTCTTTAGGACTCCAAGAAAAGCTTGGCCATTTTTAGGTTGTCTTTTCTTATAATACAGTAGCAGAGAGTTAGGAGATGATACCTGTGTCATGCCTAAACCATCCAGTTTGTCTAATTTAAATACATGGCATAGTATTAGCAAGTGTTTCAAATGAAAGGGAGAAATGCTATGCACTGAGGCAGTTGGTTAARCCCTTTATTGCTGAGGTCTTCAATATTAGTGTAGAATTCCCAGTGAAGCCATGTGCTGTTACTTTCATACTTGGCCTTTATGTATCTTTCTGTGTCAGTGTGGGCAGACCATCTTTGTCCCTTTACTTCACAGTGCACTCAGTATATTCAGCTCTACTGCAGTTTTTAGAGCACACCTTTTTTTCTTCCTACAGTCYATTAGTGAGGACAATTTGAGATGAGATAGAATCTTATATGTAGGTAATTCTAGGAATAATTTGCTTGGCTTCTAATTCTAAAGACCTAAGGTAGAGGAAGTGGTTGAGACTGGCATCTTWTAGTCTGATAGCAAAGGTGAAAAGGAGTGTTGAGATATGTGTAGAAAACTGAACAGAATGTAAGAGGAAGTATTTTACTGATTTTTTTTTAATATAATTCATAMATTTCTGAGTATTACAGTGTATGGAAATTGTTTTAATTTTTGACACATTTAATATTGCTTCATTAATAATGAATATTTTGAAGAGCTTAGGAAAGGCTTTGTATTCAGGAGGGTTTTCTGTGTCTTAGATGTGGTCTTAAAAATGTTGACAGTATGGCCTGAGTGTGAGACTTAAGTGGCTGTGTGGCAGTGTTTTATGTTTCTCTTTTGCTGAGTGGATATGTTCCTTTTCAGTGTGGAATCTTTGCCCTGTGTTAAAATGACATTGTCAGTAATTTCATCAGTTGATGTGAAACCATTTAGGAAAGTAAGACTGTAAGCTAAATCTGCTTCAGTATGCTAAATGTTGAGGTATTAAAATTGACAGAAGCAGACAGTGTGAAGGTGACTTTGAGCTGAAATAGAGAAGGTACATGCCCATGGTTTTACAGCTGCGGAGCTGATTTTGTCCACTATTGATGTTTCTGTTCATTAAATGTATTACAAGCAACAAACATTTATATTGAATTCCCATTATTTTCTAGCTCTGCAACACCAGAACATTCTAGGCCTCTTTCCAGTTGYCCCAGCTGGGAAGGTAGAATTGAAGAAGGCAAAACACTGAGGACATCAAATAAAAAAACGGCAAAGTAGGTATTGAACTATTACTGGTTATTGTTGCATTGRTTTTAGCAATAGCCATGTGGTGATCTCTGACTACTTTATATGCATGAATGAAAATTTGAGACACAGACAGGCTGAAGGAAGCCTTATGGAGGCAGTAGCACTGAGAAGTTTGATCTCAAAAGCTACTTGTGTGATTATTTGAGATTCAGATTTGATTGACACACTTTCAACTTTCGCTTCTGTGAACTAGTGAGATGTGTGCACAGTCACTAGTCTGTCAGAAAAAGAATACACGGCAGTTCTAGAACGTGTGTTTATATCATTTTCTGTAAAACTATTAAGGTTATTTTCAACTTAATTCTAATTTTTATTTCCAAATTCTGTTTCAAGCTACTCTGGTAACCCAGCTGAAATGGAAACTGATGAAGTCGTCCTGAGAAGGAGACAAAAGCAGATTAATTTTGGAAAGAATACCCTTGCATATGACAGATACATTAAAGAAGTTCCAAGGTAAGTTGCACTGTGCTGCAGATTTCCAAATGAACTCTTATTTGTTCCTGGTGTGTGTGTGTGTGTGTGTGTGTAGAGCAGCACACAGCCTTAGTTTATTTCAAACTCTTCTGTGGTTTTTATTGCTGAGCATGACATCATATGGTGTGCAGTATCTCTTTGGATAATTCAAATCAGCTGTCCCAGCAGTTTTCTGTCTCAACTCAGTACTCACCCTCAACTTAGTCTGTGGGATGGAGCAGGGCTGAGTGGGGAAAAGAGAAGGCCTTGAAGCTGTGCAAGCACTGCTCAGCAATGACTGAGAGTCAGTGTATTATCAGCATTGTTTTAGCTATAAATGCAAAACACAGCACTGCAGGGACTGCTGTGAAGGAAGTTAACTCCATCCCAGCCATAGTCAGTACAATACTAAATAAAAGAAGCTGCATTTCACTCAGGAAAAGTAAAGTATAAGGAACTGGGGTTAGGATACTACTGAAGGAGTAWGAGTTATGCTTCTGTTTCATATTTGTCCATGGGCAGTAGGGGCCTGCTTTTGGCAGCTGTCAGAGTGCTGGACTGGATGAGCCTCCAGTCTGACTCAGCATGTTATGSTTAGTTGTTGCTTTTGTATTCTATTTTTGATAATGTCTTACAATATACACATTTCAGTTAATTGTTTAAAAATATGAACACTTTATTTATCAGACCACTGATGCCTGCRTGATTGATGAGCTAAGGATTTTTTTTTAAGGAAAAAGCCCCCTTGTTCTGAAATAATATACCTTACTGTGTTTTTACAGGAATCAGCGAATTCCAGGAGTTCATCCTAGAACTCCCAACAAGTTTAAGAAGTACAGCCGTAGATCCTGGGACCAGCAGATCAGGCTGTGGAAGATAGCACTGCATGCCTGGGATCCTCCTACTGAAGAAACCTGGGATCTGCAGCCAGTGTGTGTATATGGGTGAATTMAGTCAGGGCTGAAGGAATTAAGGAGGGCTCTGTATTTCCTTTAGGGCATTCCCGACTGGGAGAAAAAAGATCAGGCTCAGAAATGGGAGTCTCCTTGAATATTTTGTTTTCCATTTGAATTCTGTTAGTCTTCAAGATATTCCAGTTATTTAGTTTAAATTAATCTGCAATCAGGCATTATGGGGAGGAAGGCATTTGGTCTGCCTGAAATGCATTCCCTTCCCCTTTCTATTCACATTGGTGGGTACAACATAACATTGCTTTCCTAGAAAATGAGAGGCTTGAGCAGAAATTCGGTGATTTCTGTTCCTTAACTTTGATAACTTTCCATCTTTTCCTGATTTCAGTGGAATCACGTCTCCTAGTTAGGCAGTGTAACAATATGTTCAAGGGTTTGAGATGCTTAAGAACATAAGAGACTTCTGTGCTCTCTTGAGGAGAGTGGGAACTATGTTCAAGGAGGAAATATTTTTACCTTTTCAGAACTTTGAATTTCTGTAACAAAGCTAGCTCAGCTAATTGATGCTACCTCATACTTTACTAGATTTGGACTAGTCAATTGGGAGGAAAAGAGTGAATGGAATTTTTTTAGCTCTGTAACTGCACTGTGTAAATAGTTCTACCTGGGTTGTAATTGACCTGTGGTAGAAGTTGCAGGTTTTACACCATTTGGATGTCACAGGAGATGAACTGTTAATTATTACTGCAGTTTAACTGCATTCTGCTTGGAGCACTAAGCCAGATGGGTGGTTTTTTAAACTTTTTTCCCTCCTGTTTCTAGGAGTACAGAACTTTCAGGTAGTTCCCAGGAATGTTTGTGCAAAGATGAGGATGTTTCTGGGTCCTTTGTGTTTGACAAAAAGAAGAGAAATGAATGTGAAGATGAATTCAGGCGGACTGACTACACACCTGAGAGGTATGAGGGAAAACTTCTGTGCTTAACCTAGGGAAGTAATTCAGTACATGTCAGTGCTGTCAGTTTTTTTGTGGTGAATATTTAGTGGAAGGACAGTTAATAGCTTTGCAGTTTGGCACTTTTGCTGTTGAATGTAACCCATCAGTGGTACAGAGCATTAAATGTGGGAAAATTACCAGCAGAAATTACATGATTTAATAGAAGGAAATGCRATKATTTTTCAGCTTCCCTGTTCATACAGTGGACTACTGAGGTTTCTGTAACTATTGCTCGAATGTCCTGAAAGTAGGGGTGCTTTTTCAAAAGCAGGAGTCCCCATCCTTAGTACTATTGTGCCTGTCTGCAGAACAGCTGGGAGAATGAAGTGACATTCCTTTCTCTGTTTACTGAAATATCTTGTCCTGGGTGGATGTGTTTGGAGCCCAAAATGTTTCTGCTTCCAAAATGTGAGCCATTTGCTCTGTGTTCATCTATGTGACTAAAGAATCATATCTCAGAAGAAGACTTCCTCAGTACCACATGCCATTATTTAGCAAAACTCTGATAAACATTTAGACATAGATAAAAAACGTTATGTGTGTAAAATCTGTGTCTTATTTTTGTAGTTCCAGTTCTCCTGATTCTTCTCCAGTATGGAAACGCAGAAAAAGAAACAATTCTGACTCCTCTGTGGTTTCAGAGGGCAAAAACCATTATCTGCAGATGTACCACACACTGGAAAGGTATGAAATGATTCTCCATATGGGCATTCATTGATATTATGAACTAACTTTTGGAATATGACTGGTATTTTTCCCTTCATTTGTTGATAGCTTTWATTTTATCTAGATATGTGTGCACTTTAATGAGGAAAAGAAATCATGTCAGAATAATTGTGCTGTGGATAGCAAGTGTATTTACCATGGTCCAGTGCAAAGTGTCAGAAGACACAGCACAGGTTGTTTTGTGTGTGTCAGTTTAGGCAGCACTAAGGGTTTTGGCCATGTAGACATTTCACACTAATCATTGTAAAAATGTTTATACAGGTGTGGTTTCTTCTCTCTGCTTAGCCCCCTTCAGAAAAATTAAGAGGAACTATGTTACCAAAGTATGTGGATTCAGACCTTTTCATTTTCTTTCCAGCCTTACTGACTCAGGACATCAGGATGCTTTTTCAAAGTGCTCAGAGTGGGAAGCCTTTGGTGAAAAAGATGAAGTAATGACAGTACAACAAAGTATAGGAATAACAAGGTAAACACCCCAGTGATTATGATTCTGTTTGTTGCTAAATGCTGTAACGGTGTCCTTTTCTTTTTAATCTTTTTCTTCACTGGTTAATACTACTTTTTTTACCTTCTTATATTTCCTCCAACATGTGGTATGTTGGGTTGTTATTTCTGTTCTTTGAGTTTACTTGGCTTTTTTCCAGTCTGTCTCTTCATCTGTTGCTTTCTGCTGCATCTTCTATCCCAGGTAACTCTGTAAAATGATGAACCCCTCTTTGCCTTATGGAAAGAATTGGAAGTTTGCCTCTCATTTCCTCAGCCTAAGAGCTGGAAGCTTCCTCTCTGTCTCCCTAGAGATTAAGTTGTTTTGTAGCTGACAACAATGGTAGTTATTTGTTTTTATGCAGTGACCCAGTTCCCGCCAGTTGTTCTTCAGGATGGAACAATCCAAAACAGAAGAAATCCAGTTTCTGCCTGCCTGAGAGCAAAACTTGCAGAGATGCAGACTGCAAGCTGGAAAGGTATCAAGTGCAGCTCATCAGTTGGGGTTTGAGGGGTATTTTTGAATATTAACTTAGAAGCTTAGTTGTTTTCTTGCTGTAACCTAACACATGCTTTTATTATAAACATTGATTTTTACTTTTTTTTAACTATTCTTTTTAGAGTTGTGTTGGGCAGTATTTATATATTGTKTGGTAAAATTCTGTCCTTATGTTCTCGTGTTACAGTCTGTGTTAATGTAAATGGATTGTAGCTGGTTTTAGTATTTAAAAGTTATCATCATAAAGCCACTTAGTTTTAGGGGGTTTTTTTTTGTTTGTTTGTAGGCTTAAACTTTGTAGCAGTTTGTGGGAAGGACATCAGCCAGAATACCCTGACAGAGGATGGGGAAGTGCAAATGCTGAAGATACAACACTGAGGAAAAAAATCTAAATACCAAGGTGACTGGCACTGTGACTTGTGCTGACTAYTTACATGACCTGTTCTGTTTCAGTAGACCATCCACAGTATCATTCCACAGAATCCAACTGTTCCGTTTAGGCAGATAAAAGTTTCTCTTTTGTTCCCTTATTTTATTAGTGTTTTGTCCCATTCTCTTGCACTTAATACATCATCTTAATTAAAAGATCTAATGCTTTAGACTTAGTAAATTGAAATTTTTACCTGTCTGGCAGAAAATGTGTTTTTATCACTTAAATGAAAAGTCCCGGGTTTTTAATAATTTCAGTAGCACTTTTTCTGCCTCGTAATATTTTTATGTTGAAGTCACAACTTGGCATTTGCAGCAGATTTTAGGGAAAATGTTCTCTCAGACTGTAGATTCCTGTGGTGCATTAATAGGATGGGTGGTAATCTGGGTCAAAGAGGTTTTATGAGCAGGTAGTCTTTTCTAATTGGATTGTCCTTTGATGCAGGCTCTGAAACATGGACTAGGATATAAATGTCTGTTAAACAGTGATCTTTGACTGTTTTGCATTATAAAACTCATTAAGAATATGGCCAAAAACTAGTTTTACCACTTAGATTTTGGATTATAGCAGTATGAGGAAAAGTCAGCTAGAGCTTTAAAAAGTATTATGCTGACGGAATTTTTCTTTTGACTTTATTGATTTTTAATTTAAATTCTTTGAGCATGAATAAGATTTAATGTGTATTCAYTTTTCTAAAGTGCTAATTCAATATTTGAAAATATCTAGTCTCTCTTTGTATATAGAAATATTGAAGAAGGAATTTTTCCTGTGACAGAAAAAGACTTGAAGAAYAAAGATGTAGTCTGAGATCAGCGGATCAAGTCTTGGAAAACTGGTGCTGTCATGTAGGATCTGCACTGAAAAAGGAGGAGATTTACAGTCAGCACATGTGCAATCAACATAAGGTGAAATTATTCAGGTAAAAGAAGCATCTCTACATCCCAGTTAATAGCCTTTCTGCAGATGGTTCATGCTTAACTGCTTTGCAGTGGTCTTTGTTGTAAATAAGGTTATATTAAGGAATGTATATATTCAGTGGGCTTGTAATTACTCATTCTAGTTGAAAAAAAAAWGTCTGTTAGATGTAAAATGTATAAAGTGAATTAAATAGCTTCTTTATKGAGCTACACATTGGTTTTCTGGGATGGAAAGATCAGTATTTAGAGAGACATTGACTTTAACCTTGGCTTTTACATGCGATGAGCTCTAGCTTTCAAATRACAGGAACTTTATTTGTGGAAGTTTAATCTGGCTTGAAAAAYAGATAGTGGGTTACATGGTAGAATTCCATACTACCTTCCTTTTGCTAAAAGAAAWTTTCTGTCTTAAACAGGAGTAAATATGAATTTGGTCGTTTTCTAGACAAAAACTTASTCAATAGGGAATTTAAGGTATGGCAGAAATTTGTTAATTAGAATTAAGATTAAASTATTTTATGAATTAATAATGACATTTACATGAAAATGATGTGAGGGTTTGGGGAAAATAGGCTCAGATGCTTCCTCTTCTCTTTGACAAATACTTTMGGAATGCAGGGTATCTAGTACTGTATTTTTTCAGTAATTTATATTCTCAAAATACACTAACACCTTCTTTAGTATGCACAATATGGATTTCTCCTTTACATTGTGGTATAAGCTCACCGTATGCAGTGCGCTCTTCCATTACTGCTACTGTAACACCACAGCTTAAAAGAGGAAATGTTTTGCTGTTAATGCCTGGATATAGCACATTTATAAAACACTGTTATCTACTTTTTTTTTTTTTTAGGTTTCTCCAGATCTTTATAAGGATAGATTGTTTTCTGCAAGCTGTGTCTCAGGTGTAAAACTTCAGATTTAATGAAGTCTGTGCTGCAATGACAATGGATGTTCCTTAAAGCTTTTGTGAGGACATTTTTTTGCTGTGCCTGCCTTGGCAGGTGACATGTGCATTATATTGCAAAGCYTCTTCAGGTGATGGAGCCTGCCATTCCCTCTGGAGATCTTGTTCCTCAGAATGTGCTGATGTTTCTCCAGTGAACTGGTCCAGTATTGAGTCAAACTRAAGAATGCCATCCCTCAAACCAAGGAACCTCCTCTGCTCCACTGGACCAGAATTGGATATCCAGCCTGAAGAACTGTTTCAAAAGAATGTAGATAATTTCAGCCTTTCTCCAGTCATTAAAGACAAGCTGTTCATAGCTTTTGGATTGGGTGATCACCCATTTGGCCTATTTATTGTTCTTTGAGATGTGTTAAGCTGGCATTTGCCTAAGCCAGGTAAGAGAAAAGAATGGAAAGGTAGATGGTTTATCAAAATAAGATCSTTTTCTTGAAGGGGCTGAGTGACTGTTAGAATAGCAGCACAGCTTCAGTCTCTGAATTTTTCTTCTATATGTGTTGCAGCCTGAGCCAGAGAGCCTGTCTACTGTTAAAGAGTAGGAGAAGATGCATTCAGTGCCTGTTGTTCATACAACTATTGGGGATGGATAGCATTTTTTGCAGGTGTGGAGCTGCTCTTGTCCAGGCTAAGGGTTGTGAAGGTGTTGGGATAGGCTCTCCCTTGTTTTACTCTTCTAGCATTACGTGCAGAAGTTTGAAGCGAGAGCTGTGGCTACAGTGGTTTAGACTAAATTTGTGTGCCAGTTACAAGAACTTTTCAGTCCTTATGGCATTTTATGTACCGTGTACTGGGATACCAATGTCTGCTAGAGCTGGGAGTTGGCTCTGCAGGAGTTTGGTTTTGYTTTTCACCACAGCCTTGCTGTGGGGCTGGCAGTACCCAGGGCCAAGAGCCCATTGTGCTGCTGATTTGGAAGTAAGCTGCTTCCCCAGGAACTACTCTCACTCCAAAAMTGTTATTTCCAGGCATGCTCAGGCATTTTTCTCAACACAAGAGTGTATCAGTCACACACCACAAAGCACTGAGTGTGTACAAGGGACACATCTGTACAGCACTTTTCTAAGAAGTAATATTTAGTACCTTGTTCCAGTGTGCATGCTTTAATGTGATTTATGATGATTGTAAATAAGGGAATGTGTTACATTTTTGACAATTTGCCTTTATGCCGAAGAATTAAAAACTTTTAAAATCATTGTTAGTCTGCTTTTGCAGTTGTGTTGTCAGTTTGCTTATAAAAGGAATATGTAGGTTCAGTAGTCCATTTTTGTTTGAGTATTGCTTTTGCTTTTCTAGCCCTTGCTAAAAGGGGAAAGGAGGAGTCTTCACAGATTAAATTAGACTCTTGAAGGCAGTTTACAATTTGAGTTGTGTCCAGCCCCTCAGTTTGAGTTTAGGGTATTGTAACTTAGTGGAAGGGAGCATCTGAGGGCCCAGCACCCATTCTGCCATGGAAAGGTGTCCTGCTGAGAAGATGGAACTGCTAGGTCAGAGTAATAGGCTGTCATGAAATACTTAAACTCATCTTAAATATTTAATGTGTATTAAGAGCCCTTAAGCTTTTGCCTGTGATCAGGGCCTGCAGTGGATTTATGGACACATCCATAGGATTTGTAATTCAGCAGTCTTTAAAAGTTCTTTRTATTTCTTGGTTGAAGATACTTAGACTAGACATAGCCTAACCAATCTGCGTGTGGCAGTTAAATTTTGGGCAGATTTATTCCCTAATCCAGATTCTGTATGCTTGGACAAACTATGGTAGCAAAAGGGAAGGAATGAAACAGCAGATGAGATTTGAGGTCTGCTGAAGTAATTTCATGCAGTGCTGTTTTCACTGGATGTAGAATCATCTTGTGTTCTAATTAGTAACCTCRTTAGTCTAAACACAGCAGTGAAAACTGGAATGCAGCCTGTCTGTGCACTTGTTTGCCTGTGCAAGGCTGTCTGACACAGTTTGCAACTGAGATAAGCGAAGCRGAAGTCTGGCACTCCACCCCCAGTTTTTCCTTTAATTTTACCCAACTTAATTAAATCTCCGCATGAATCTCTGCTCAGTTTATAATTAAGACAAAATATACCCTGAACTTAGGCAGACTGGTTTCAGTTTTTCCCTAAAAATGATGAGTATCTCCTGTTTGTATGCTTCCATTAAGAGAATCTCCTTACAGATGATACATTCTGTGCTTGTGGAAACTTCACTGGCAGTTCTGAAATACCATGGGTTGTGTGTACTGTTTTTTATTTGTAAAACTCCTTTGAGGTCACAGCTGAAGATMTCTCCTCCCCTTAAATTCCCACCATGGTGTGAAACCTCTTTTCTGGAGGACTTTAGTTGTTGACAAGGACAGAAAGATGCGATGCAGCTGTAATCCCTGAGCTGTTTATTTTGATAAACAGATAGTTCTGCTGGATAAACTGAATTTAATTTGTGCAATGTTACGCTAAAAGTACTGCATGGCTTCCAGGCTGTGGCTGTCGTCTGTCTGGCTTGTTTGGATGTGTTCAGGTAAACTGGAACAGCGTGTTTATCTCAGAGCCAGGCTGAAGGGAGGGGCATTTGTGCATGTTTTGAACCTCTGCTGTACTTCAGGCATGACCTTGATTGAGGAACACAGTTCTGTTTTCCATAGTAGTGTGTGGGAAAGGAGAGGTGCCAGCAGAGCAGACTTCTCTATAGGAACATGGATTCATGCAGGTGCCACATAGAAGATACGTGAATTTGTACAAATTACAGTAAGTCTTGGCAACAGGAAAGGAATTTGCAAGGTAAATAACTTCAAGCATAGGAAGGCTATTAAACCCAAACAGCACCTGTCACTCTGCTTAGAAAATCTCTCCAAAACCATTGCTGTGCTTCAATAGTTGCTTTCGTGTTTTAAGCTGATTAAAAAAACCCCACCAAATAACTTTTTGCTTGCTACTTCTGCCATCTSTTTTACCAGATGCASTACCTGGGGACATGGTTTAGTGTTGGACTTAGCAGTGCCTGGTTAATAATGGTTGGATTTTATGATCTTAGTGGGCTCTTCCAACCTTAATAAACCTGTGATTCTAAGGCTTTTTCAACCTTGGTGATCCTGTAAGGCCAG